CGTTTCATCCTTCTTCACTCTAAAAAATCAAGACACATGATGTGTATGGTAAGCTGTCAGACCCTAGATGACTCATACTTTTGTTATCAGATTCTGAAGTCACTTATGCACTTGATATATATTTTTGGACCAAAAATTTTTATACTACAATTCAGGTATCAAAAAATTCCGAATTTAATTTATAGTCAAACGAAATACTTCTTATTACTGGCTTATTTCTCTAAGCCTGATTTTAGACTGAAAAACTTTTGCTTGTGCAGCCCTCTTTAATTGTTGTCATAGTGATGGTTTATTATTCTGCAAATGATAATTTTATGTCAAAGTTGTCATCGATTTGTTCTTTTTTTTTTCATGTGCTATTTTTCATTACCTATTTGTTACAACTGATTATATTATATTATTCAATCTGTTTCAGATTTCTCTGATTACAAGGTGCAATAATGTCGTCCATTTGTGTTTTATGTTTTCGATCAGGAAAATTAAACAAAAACCAATTCACAACAGTAAATAGTGTTGAAGTTCAAGAAAAAAATACAAGAAGCATATAAAGATATAAATGGTATTCCTTTATCAACAACAATATTAAATAAACAAGTACATAAAGTGTGTTATCAAAAATACCATCGTCATTATACATATGCGTCTCAAAACAAACAATCAACAAATGTAGTACCAAATTCTTTGTCAACTCGTCGTTTACCACTTGTTGATCGAACAAATTATCAATGTCCATCATCGTTAGTACCAGTAGTACCATCAGCAAATGAAAATTTTCAACAAAATTTCGTAAATTTTTAAATTTAATAAAAATTTATTATCTAAATTTAACGTTAATTTTTAGCTGCTGTTACCATCGTCATTATCATCACAAGCAACAACAGAAAATCCTGATTCAACACCACACAATGACAATATGTGTTTAGAATTTTCATATGTAAGTGAAATCTTTGATTTGAAAAAAAAATCCAATGAGTTGTAGAAATAATAGCGTGTAATAATCATCTAATGAATTGTTTTAGAATCAAGTATCGTATTATTCTGGTGGTGTTACTGATTTACAAGAAGATTTTTCTAATTCATCTGATTTTAATGATGCGAACTTTTCAACATCAATTGGATCATCATCGGCTCAACAAATTCATCAAAAAGAGTCTTTCACAACCAATGTATGCATATTCTTCTTTTAAACAATTTCACAAACATTTGTATTCATTTCTATGTCTTCTTAGATTCAATCATTAACAGCAGGAAAAAATATTGACCTTCTTGACTTGATCGAAAGTATGAGTGTCGATGGGTCTTCATTAACCACTGTCGAAAATCTTGATTCAATACCATATAATAACAACATGTATTCAAAAGTTTGTCATGTAAGTGAAATATTTGATTTGGAAAACAAATATTTAACACATTGTGTTAGAATGAAAAATCATATAATGCTGATGATTTTATTGATTCACAACAAAATTTTCTTAATTCATCTGGTTTTATTGATGACAAATATTCATCACTAGTTGAATCATCATCAATTAAACAAATCTATCAGAAAGACTGTTTCCAAATCAACGTACGTATAGGGTGCAGGCAGAATTGAAATTCAGACAAATTTCAAATTTGCCTAGTCAAAATTGAAATTTTAATTTTGACTGAATTTATATTGAACGAAAATAAAATTTCAATTTTGACTAGGCAAATTTCAATTTTGACTAGGCAAATTTTAATTTTGACCACAACATATATATACTCGTGTAAAAAATTTCTGAAACATTCTTATCCATTTACTTATATTCTGTCTTTTTAGAATAAATCATTAACAGCAAGAAAAAAAGTTGATTTTGATGATTTAATCGAAATTATTGATACAGATGGATCATCGCCAACAACTGCTGAAAATCTTCATTTAACATCAGATGATAATCATATGTATTCAAAAATTTGTCGTGTAAGTTAAATGTTCTGTTTGAAAGGAAAATAAACATTTAATACATTCTTTTAGAGTGAAAATTCATATAATGCTGGTGATGTTTGTGATTCACAAATAGATCTGATTGATTCATCAAGTCTTGGTGATCCAGAGTTTCTATCACCAATTGAATCATCATTTATTTCACCATCACCAATGCAATCATCATTTGTTCGATCACCACAAATTGAACCATCGTTTATTTCATCAGTATCAATTCAATCATCATCAGTGGAACAAATTCACCCAGAAAAATCGTCCAAAACCCAAGTATGCATATTCTTTTTGTAAAACAGTTTCAGAAACGTTCTTATTCACGTGTTGTTATGCCTTCTTAGTTGCAATCATCAACAGTAAGAAAAAGAATCAACTTTGATGACTTGGTCATTATGAATAACACAAATGGATCATCACCAAAAATAATTGGAACAACAAAAGTATAGCAGCCTTATGTTATTTTTTATGTACCCATAACATATGAGTTTAAAACAGCGGTTTAAATATCTTATTGTTGCAGAAAAAGGGGCGATGTTTTGTACAAAAAGGGAGCTCATTGTTTTCTCTAATGTCATCATCTACGTACACGTATGTTTTTTTTATTTTAATAGATTTCACGTCTTCGTTCTCGTTATTCAACTAAAATTCGACGACCAACTAAAAATCATAATCAATATCCAATCGATGATAAAAAGAAGTCATTTCTGTATGATGATAGTTTTAGTGAATTATGTGGCTGGTTAGAAAATTTATTACGTGGTGGTTTTTTAGTTTCATTAGTAATGGTTAAAGAAAAATATGAAGAAATTTTACAATTAAGAAATGAAATGATAACAGAGGGAATGATACGTACAACATCTATTCGTGATCGTCTTCATACAAAATTTAAAAATCGTATATTATTTACAAAAGTGAGCAATCGTCAAGGTTTATTTATTTCTTGGAATGATTTATCAACAATAACACAATCAACATTAACTAATTCATCAACATTAGATTATAATTCTGGTTTTCAATCAAATAACATTTACAAAGATCAAGAAAACGTGGTAGATAAAGAAGCACAATCGACAATATTATTTGAAGCAATTGAACTATTACGAGAATCAATACATGAAAATATGCATTATCTAAAACAAGTTCAAGACAATAATAAATCACTTACTGAGTTTACAACAGGCTTATTTTGGGATTGTGTTCCTACATTAATAAAAAACGTTATTGGATTATTAACTACGAATGATGATTATTTTCAACGTTTTAAAAATAATTATGAATATTATAATATATTTGATCAAGATATGTACAAATCAAGTGAAAAAGCTTTAAAAATTTCATCAATAGCTTATGACATTATCAATACAAGATATAATTCTTATTCAACACCGAAACATTTATTGCTTGGTAATGAATTATATCATCACGTACGATCTTCACACTTGATCAATATCATGAACAAATTTGGACATACATGTTCGTATGAAACAATTGTAAGTGAAGAAAATTTAATCTAACTAATTGTTGAAAATTTGAAAGTAGATTTATTGAGAAAATATTCTTATGTAAATTATATTACTTTTTATACTATTTATTTCTTTTAGATTCGTTTACAAAACAAAGTGGCTGCTGAAGTTTCAAAATTATCATCAACAGATCTACCA